TGATACTGGCAAGCTTGGCATGATTGACATCTATGCTCAGCTTGAGGGGGAGTGTAGAGAAGATGGGCCGAATGGCCCATAGGCTGTTTATTTTTTCTTACCTTTTATATTCCTTTCTGTAATGAGCCTTATTCTGGGCCCATCCTTTTTATGTTATGTTCTTTTAATTTCTTGCCCAACTAAGGGCCTCGTAATTATTCAAGTTTAACTTAATAAAATAGTGTTGGGGTGCAAGAGAAGGGAGTAAGGTTCAAAACTCTCATTCTCTAAACCCTTATTGCCGCCATCTTCTTCTTCACCTTTTACTCCATAGAAGAAGCATTTTCTGCTGTTCCTTTTTGATTTCTGCATCTATTCTAAACAGTCCCCCATTCCTAAGGACTATTTTTCTTTTATTTATACACAGACAATCCTTAAACAAAAAGCAAGATGAGACAATGGATTGCATCCTGATTTCTTCACAATAGTTTTTCCATTTCCTTTTAATACTATTACAGTTAACCATCCTTTGGCATTTATTTTATAGTTTTACCCCTTTAGTGATTATGGCACTAAGTTTTGTTAGCATTCCATTTAATAGTCTTCTAACTGATTATTCTCATAAATACTATATGAATATTATGCCATTAAGTAACACATTCAATGTTTATGATGTTTTCTCCTCTCTGTCCTTTCAAATCCTGGAAATTCATCTTTTGCTTCTATATTTATTTCTTTTTTAGTAATCATTTATTTACCTATCCATCATTTTGTTAATAAATTTCCAAATGATTCCTTTATATAACTGTTAAAGGAAAGTCACGGCAAGAGTTTCTCTATGTACTTGTTCTCATTGGAGTTTTTTGTAAAAAGAAAAAAAAGAAAAAGAAATTGATGCAGATATTTTTGTCTAATAGGTTTCATGCTTGATATTTGATGCTTGTCATATTTTATAAATACAAAACTAATAATTTCAAGTAATGTATTTTTTTTTAATTTCCTAAGAATACCTGGATATGCAACTGCACAGAATGGAATGGTGAAACAGGATTCGTGTAGCAATTATCAAAAAAAAAAAAAGCAGGATTCATGTAGCCAACCTCATATAGTTGGGACAAAGCTTAGACGATATGATTTTATAATAATACTGATGAATATTTAGAAAAATACAATTAAATTTATATTAATAATTCAGTTTGTCTGTAGATATTTTTATTAGAAAAGAAATATTTTATATTTTTTTCTTTAGATTGTAATGTATTTGGAAAAAAATTAATTTTGTGATAGTAAATATGCGAAATAAACCTTTCCAGAAACCAATCTTCTCTCTTATATCTCTTTTATTCTAAATTCTTATCTTATAGTTTTTTTCATTTCCTGCATGGCATATAATACATGAAAATCTGTTAAAAGATTTTATTATTAATTATATTTATTTTATTAAAAGTATTAAAAATGTGGGTTTTGACTAAGAGGAGTAACAGGGAGAAGGGGAGAGAGATAAGAGATAATGGCATGAAAATTAGCTATATCTTCAATTTCTAAGTGAAAATTCCTAATAGTTGCCTCTTAAAATTTGTGCAATATTTTATCAGGTCAATATCTTTACTTTCTGTAATTTAATAATATGCTTTAGTTCTTGTTAGAGTGAGCCGAATAAGGGCAGTTTAGTCTTTGTACAAGTAATTAGAGACTAATTACTATTAAGGGGTCGACTGATAGGGTTAACCCATCAGATTCGACAGTCCCTTCATTTTCCTTCTTCTTCTTCTTCTTCTTCTTCTTCTTCTTCTTCTTCCTCTTGCTGGTTCGGGTTACTGTAGCAGTAGTCGAAACAGTTCTGATGTATAGGAGACATTTAATCTTCACCTAGGCATTGCCTATATCCATGGTTATTGCCTAGACACTTTGGTTACATTTTCATTTAGTTCGTGTAACCTTCGGGTATCTGGTTTCTCTAATATATTCAAGGTATGACCAATGTGAAAAACTAATTGCTTGTCGACTCTCTGTTTGTAACTGGGAACTCCACTGAACTAGTTCTCCTTAGTGTCATTTCTTCTAATTTTTCTGGTGCATACTATTTTCTCCTGTTATTAGCTCAGATTTTTTTTTGGTCCAAAATCATCATCCACGCTTGGGACTGGAAGTGTAAGACAAGCTCACACTAGTGCCTAGCCGCCTAAAACACAATACCAAATGCAACTTGAAAAATACTTGCTGAGGATAATGCTTTTGTTTTCTCTGGTGAAGCACAATGTTGCCAAGTTTTGCTCTTTGGTTTTCCTTTGCATCATAAGCTATTCTTTGGCAAATGCTACTTAGAAATTATTACCAAATTATGCATTATTTTTTATTTTTGTCACAGCTCTGTATTAAATCTTCTGATAATGGCGGCAAGCTGCTGCACTGTGATATCTGCCTTCAACCTTATAATCTTCAATGCAATGAATCCCCAACTGAGGTATTTTTAATGTGCACAAGATGAACAAAATATTTGCTTATTACATGTGAAGCTGGTGATATATTCATGTTCCTTTTTTTCTGCAGTATATTGCTCATCAGCAATGGCTATGCTCTGCTTGTGCTAAACAAGAAAACTCAGGAAAGTCTCAGCAACAGTCAGGGACAAAAATGGAAAGGAAGGATATTGAAGGATCTGAGACAAGATCAATAGACCTTTGTTCTCATAAAGGGCTTTCGATGAGGAAATCCATTGAGGATGAACACAGGAATGAAACAGGTGGCGCCTTTCAAAATGTTGCATCCTCTGAAAGGATTTCTAATTACATCCAGATATGTTCATGCTCAAATATGTGCTCTGAATCCACCCACAAGAGTCCACAGACAGAAGCAAGTTCAAATACTCTAGTGGTAGACATAGACACAGAAATCAACATAAATTCTGTATGTTTAGACTCAGAAGGTGAGAAAAATGCCAGCTGTGGATCTCCAAGTTCCTCCGTGCTGAAGAGAGTTGATTCAGAAAGCACTGATTTTCTCTCGAAAGATAAGTCCAATTTACTGTGCACTAATACACACCTTAAAAGGAAATACAGTGCACCACTAATAACTTTCAGTCGAAGAGCCAAAAGGAAGAGGCATGTCAACAACACAGAGGCACCAAACCAATCGACAATCGAGGAAAAAAGGTTTTTAGAGAACGATTGGTGTAACTCTAGATCAGATGTAAGCTCTTCTCACGAAGGAACCTCTCAAAAGTGTAGCTCAGTAGATCAGCAGAATGCTTTAATAGTATTAGGAGAAGGCCCTGATGTTAGCCATTCAGTTGTTAAAAGAAAAGATAAGGTATGCTAAATTGTTAATTTGCTTTGCTTAGCAGGTTCTTTTGCACTAGTTTCTGAGGTGCTACATAGGACTTCCTTTCACTTAATTCTATTTGGGAGATTGGAGAGGGGCCAAATGTTGATTATAACCTTTGGTGTTCCTGTTAGGCTGTTAGTGTATCATTATGCATTAAACAGTTACCATTTTGATACTGCTGTTTCTTTAATTCCTTTTATTTATAGGAGTCACTTGGTATTTTTCTTTTGCTCATATTAGTGACCACTATGAACATTTGAAAATTGAAATGCAGAAGAGTGAAATAAAGAAAAGTTTTCTGTTCTGTCAATATGACTTTTGAGGCTTGCAGCAATGGGGCTTCTGAAGGGTTTACCTTGCAGATCCTGACTGTCCATTTGGTAGAGACATTCTAGGTTAGCCACGTTGACAGCAGATGACTGGTTAAAGTATTGGAATTTGGGGTTTCAATAATAAAAGTTAAGTAAATTGCATGTGCTGGAGTTAATTATTGGATTGTAGGACATAAATGTAATACAACCTTTTAGAAGAGAACAATTGATTGGATATATGAAGTGAATTGTAGAAGATGGTCAAAAAATGATGGATAAGTAAACGAAGTGAGATGGATGGAGTAAGCTCCAATAAGAAAATTTCAGTAGAACAGAAGTAGACAACATTAGCATCAATTCAACCTGTTTCTCTATTACAAGAGGCCCTATTATAGACTTAAAAAATTTTATGTTCCTACTTTGGTTAAAGAAGGTACAGAAAGAAAGTCCTAAAAAATTAAAATGTCTAAAAAATCCTTTTCCCATTACCAGCCCATACCCTATAAATAGTATGGCCATATTACTTTTTCTTAGATTGGTAACTTCTTTAGTGTATGTAAAAGAATGTGATATATACAGTGAAAATTCCAAGCACCCGAACGTTGTAGGTTAGTCATGCTATCCACTACATATTTCTTTTTCTTTTTAGATTACAAATTTATCATTTCCCCTAGGAATTATCCCCTAATATAAAATTCTTCTGTTGATTCCTTGCTTAGCCAAAACTGTCATATAATTACCCTAGTGAAACTAGCTTCCAAATTTTTAGCTAAATATTCACCTTCTCTCAAAATATGTGTTATGTTTGTGCCTTGAATTCTTTGTGGCGACCCACTTCATGAATCTGCTCTGAATTAATTTGAGAAAAACCTGAAGGCAAAATTTCTATCCTTTTTTATTAAGTTAATATAAATAGTGAACTGGCGACAGCCAGAGAAAGGTTTTTTCTTTTCTCTCAATCGTATCTCCCTTTCCTTCTCTTTCTCTTTCTCTCGTTTCCCACTCTCCATGAATGATTACATGGTATCAGAGCAAGTTTTTGGACTGTAAAAGAGTTTCGGTCCCTCTTGTTTTGAACCTGCTTCGTTTTTTTTTCCTTCTTTAAATTCTTGGACGTGGAAGACAGGGAAACCCTAGCAGATTATTGGCGGCACCTCCTGTGAGTTCTTCCTTGGTCGTAAAATCAAGGAAACCCTAGTCGAAGAAGGGCGATGCTGATAGAGACTCCCTTTCTTCTCTGTTCGATGCTGTGAAGTCGATTTCTGGTTGGCACCTTTGTACAGGTGCTGGACAGGTGTGTTCTTGTTTTTGTCTTTTTTTGGCCAATGGTGTGAAGGCCTTATTCCTTGATTCTATACATTCGTTTGGATGCTGGATTGTTAGATTGTATGGGCTGTAGTCAAACTGATAGTAACGTCTACCTTGGCTGTGTTGGACTGATTACCGGGCTGGTTTAATGACTGAACCATCACAGAGTTGATTTCAGCAGTTTCTTGTTTTCTTCTGTTGGAAAACGTGGGGTTATTGGTTCAGATCTGAAAATAGAATTGTATATATTCCTAGGATTGTGGAAGGATTGATTTAGAAAGTTTTTTCTTTCTATTT